ACGCTGAAGTGCACAATTCACTGTCTGCCAGCCCCATCCCATTTCAGTGGCAGAAAGCAGAACTGAAATGACAGTTTCCATTTGTTAAGCACTTATAGCAATTGATTTAACAGCAAAATATACATCCAAGAACTGTGTTGTGTTTTATGAGGCAGGGCAAAAGGGAGATTTTTATTGAAGATTCTGTGACATGTTCTTGTCCAGTTCTTATTTTTGGACACATCTCATGTGTCTAGGAAGTCATGTCTTCTGCCCCCTCTTTTCATTTGAGCAGTGCTGGCCATTAAATCTTTCATTATGCAGTGGAGGAACCATTTCTTCAACTCCTTTCTCTCCTCAGCAGAGATATTGCATTTGAATGACTAACATTCATACTATGCCAATCAATATCTTTTATTGGACCAAACAGATGTTTTCTGGATAGCAGCCAAAGCTTGCTATCTCTGGCTATTAAGGATGGACAGGTATCTCAGTCACATGTCTTTTTTCTTTGGTTATTAAAAGACTACTTTGTTTCTCTGCTCTGACTGAAGATTTCTGCTATTATCTCAAAAAAGGAAATCCATGATCTGTTGTTTTATCATAAGTGGATGATATATCTTCAAACTACTTTAGCTTCTGAATTCTCTCTGAATATGTAAATAAAAGATTGAACTGAACTGGTGGAAATTGATATAGGAACATATTCAACCACATAGGAGATATGGACCATTAAAATTCCAATTTAGTTTGCAGGTGAATGAAAGGCAGAATAAGAGCCACAGCACCCAGGAGACTCTTGTTCCAGCACAAAAGCAGAAATTCATTACCCATAGCTGGATGAAAAACTTGTTTTTGTGAGAAACCCTCCTCCCTGCTCCCCATTTGATCTGAACTTTGCTATTGTTCTGTTGGGAGATACAACGAAGTGGTGGTGCCAGTGTGGAGCTAGATAGACAAAAGATCTATTTGTGTTGTCCTAGAAAAGGGTTCATGCTTGATGTCAGCATCCCATCTTGCTTGGGCATCTGTGCAAGCTGCTGTTCCAGAATTCAAAAGTGCCTCTATCAGCCCAGAATGTAGGCAACAGTAAGTAGTTTGCTCCTTTTTTTTCTTCTCCCTGTGGGACAGAGAAGATGGGAGCATGCATCCAGGTCTTTTGGGGCTTGGGATAGCAATAGGTTCATTTGGGAGAGAGATGGGCCAAGCTTGCTTAGCATCCTTTATCTAATAGCAGAAGACTATAGAGCTGGAGTTGTTAGAGGCATGAAGTTCCCTCTTCTGGTTATGCCCCTTCATTACATCCTAGAAATTATTGCGCTGCTCACTGGTTCACTGAGTAGTTTGAGAAGCACAACTTCTAAAGGACACCGGACAGGTTTTTTTTCCTCACCAGGAAGACAGACAAAGTAGAAATATATACTGTCATTTGGAAATGATGTATGTCATTGTCCTCTATACAATTCTATGAACAGGGTACTATAATTTCACAACGACAGCTTGTCTGGGAGTGCCTGCCATATTCTTCCAGTAGGGAAGTATATTTTTACATTTATAAATTACCATTTCCTTTAGAAGTTCCAGGTGGCATATGTAGAGGCTTCTCATCATTTTATCATCACAGCAATACTCCTGCAAGGGATTTGGGGCTGATGTATAATTGCTGCTAAAGAATATCCCAATCACATTCCAATACATTAACTACTAACTGATACTGACTTCAGAGTGGCGGCTTTTTCTGGACCACTCTTTTTTTGTTTTTAATTTTTTTGTTTTTAATTATAGTTGTAACTTGGACAGCAGATTGCTAATTTGATTTAATCAAGGTAGGAATTTGAAGAAAGGAAATAATAGATCTCATAACCTATTAATGGCACTAAGAACAAGCCAAGATTTATTGACTCTTTCTAAATGTTTCCACTATTTCTTTAGAATCCATTATCCTCTATCTTGATAGTCTCTCTCTTTTTGGTTTGTGGTTGTTGACTGATATAAAGTTAACTTGGTGTAACTTAGTCCAGCTAAGAAACTGGACTGTGAAGCAGAAAGCACTTGCTTTGAATTTATCCAGCACACATTGGTAGCATTCATAAAGCTTATGTAACCTGTTTATTGCATCATGGCTTGGAACTAGAGTAGCTGAGGGAGCACCTTTTTTTCCAGAGTCTACCCATCCAACCAGGTCAAATAGAATGGGCATACTGCAGATCCCATCTGCCAAAGAATGTTGGCTGACAGGAACTAGAAGGTGAGCTTTTTCTGCAGTGGTCCCTGCTCTGTGGAACATCCTCCCTTCGGAGATTAGAATGGCCCCAACCCTATTAGCCTTCCGTCAAGCTCTGAAAATCTGGCTATCCTCCCGAGCCTGGGATGCTACATGTTCCAAGGGCCCTGCTTCTTGGTTATATTGTTAACAGGCCAGATATCTTGCTTTTGTACATACTTTGGATTAAACATAATGTTTTTATTGTTTTAATGCTTTTTAGTATTATTGTTTTAAAATGTTTTTTAAATTTTAATTGTAATACATGTTTTGAATTGTGAACTGCCCAGAGTTCTTTAGTAAGGCAGCTATAGAAATTAAATAAATAAACAAACAAACAGGCAAGCAAGCAAGCAAGCTAGTTAGCTAGCTAGCTAGCTAATTTCTGCTTTTGCAGAAAACATTAAAGCAATGTGGTTAAGGTACTAGGACCAAGGAGATGCAGGTTCTATTCCAGTGGTGGCGAACCTATGGCACGCGTGCCAGAGGCGGCACTCAGAGCCCTCTCTGTAGGCACACACACTGTTGCCCCAGCCCCGCCTCCTCCCATGGCCCCCTCCTCACCAGCAGCCCCCCCGGAGGAGAGTTGCCTGTGGGTGCAGCCCACGGGAAGCAGCGCAGCGAAGGACAGGGCAGCGGGGACAGGACTCCGCCCTTGCGCCCCATCGCACGCAGATGATGCTGCGGGGCACGGGCAAAGGGTATGGCCGTCATGGTACTGCTGGGCTGCCTGGGTGATCTGTGGCGGGCCGTGGAGGTGGTGGGTGGCTCAGTGGGAGGGCAGAGCAGAGACAGGTGGGGTGGTGGTTTTGGGGCACTTGATCTCTAAAAGGTTCTCCATCACTGTTCTATTCCCTTCTCAGCCATGGAGCCATTTTCTCTCAGCCCAACCAACTTCCTAAGGTTTTTGTTGTGAGGAAAAATAGGAAAATAGAATGTATATATGCTGTCTTGAGCTTCTGAATGAAAAGTGGATAATCTGATAAACAAACGAGCAAACCATAAATGAACTGAACATACTGGCTTCGTGAAACATATGAAACACACATACACACACCAATTAACATTAATCAAGCTCAGCATGTTATATGAATAAATGTGAACCTGTCTAAATACATACACAGTCATCACGTGCCCTTAAGCTACTCTTTCTAAGCCCCAGTACTGATACATCCTTCCGCATTCTGTGGAAAACTAATATTCTCATATCCTAAAAGGAAAAGCTGTACCTTGAAGTTTAAATATGTATTTTGCACATACATGATCCCATACTCAGTCCCCAGGAACTTCAAAGAAAATTGGAAAAAATTCCTGCTTGAAAATGTATAAAGCTGTTATCAAAGCTGGCACTCTCAAAAATACTGAGTTTAACAGTGTGACTCAGAATAAAGCATCTTCAAAGAATGGATTATACAGAAGTAATAAATATGAAGAATCTTGAGTTTGAAGTAATTATACAAATGCTAATTTATCATTCCTTATTCATAATAAATATAAGTTACATTAGATCCTAAGGCATGCTAAGATAGAGAAAAACAAATAATTTTGCTCAGTGCTTTCATTATAAGTACAAAGGGATTTAAACATTTAACATATTTGGTACCAAATTCAATTGACCATTACATGGCAACAGAACATTAATAGATGTTTATATCCTTTGGCACCCTCTACTGGTTGTCTAATTTTGCACGTGCACAATTATATTATAGCCCTTATTTGAAATATTTTAAGTATTTAGCTGATTTCCCCCACCCACTCTCCCACTCACGGAACTTCTCCACGTTTGCCTGGAGAAAAATGGAATTATAGTTCAACTTATTGGAACGGGGTACCAATCATATCAAGGAGGATTGTTTTAAATTACATACTAAGTAGACAAAATATATATATTAAATTTCAACCCAAGAATTTAAGAAAGTTCAAGAGTCTGAGTTTGACCTCTGAGGTTGCCACAAAGAGAAGTGCATTTGACTTCTTTTTTTTCATACAATAGTTAATATGTGAGACTCCCTACCACTAGATGCAATGATTAGTTTAAATAATTTTCAAAAGTGAAGACAGATTCCCGGAGAACATATTCTGAGCAGCATTTGCACATAGTGTATAGGGAAGCACCACACAAGAAGGTGATTCCTAAAATAACTGATCCTTCAGGGAGGCTTATATCTATGAATAACCATGTTCTGGGAACAAGCAATAAGGGAGAGCTGTGGACTTGATTGTGCATTTCCCAACTGAATCTGGTTGGCCAAAGATGGAAAGATAACATGGGTTAGACTAGCAAGGCTTCTCTGATCTTGTGGGGGCTCAGCTGCACAGTGGGTGACTAGAGGGACTGGCCCTGCCTGGGGTCTCTTAAGCTGGATCATTGGGCAGGCAAAAGAAACAGGAACAGAGGTTCCTTTGTGCTGCCTCCTCTCATGCCTGCTTTGTATGTGTTGCAACTGCCAGCTTTCCTACAGCTTGACCCAGGATTATTCATCTGGACAAGCAGGGGGTAGCAGCTCCATTACGTCCTCAGACTCTCCATCCTTGCCTGCATTTCCATCAGCTGGGGAAGGGGACAGACATAAAACAACCAGAGTGCAGCCTTTTCCTCATTATCCCGTGTTACATAAAGTGGGCGTAGGCTGTGTTTTCATATCTGGCTGTTCCTTCTTTGCATCTCTTGAAGGAGCTCCAAAAAGCCTGCCCAGAACCAAGCCTCCTTCCTTCCAAGCCTAGCTGTAATAACCGACTGTCCTTCCTCTTTTGGCAGAATGGGGCTGTGCCTGGTGAAACAGGTAAGCGAGATGAGAACGTCAGACGAGGCAACTGGGGCAACCAGATTGAATTTGTTCTCACGAGTGTTGGCTATGCTGTTGGGCTTGGCAACGTGTGGCGCTTCCCTTACCTCTGCTACCGCAATGGAGGAGGTGAGTATGGAGGTCAGAGCACTGTGTTTGTGGGAAGGCTGGTGAGGGCTCACTGTGTTTTGTGGCAGTGCACTACCATAGTCTGGCCTGAAAAGTACAAAGTTGCTGGTAGCAGAGAAGCTCTTCATAATTGATTCTTCGTCCAGCTGTGCTTCAGCACAATAGGAAAGGGTGGGCCTTTTGCTGCAGCATCCTAACAATTCTGGGACTCAGGTTTGTTCTTGGGGCCTGGCTCAAGATGACCAGAAGTATTTTGAATGTATTAAGTTATGATTTTCAGAACTTGTGAACCAAGCTGGGCTGGGAATTCTTTAACTAACAGCCCAAATGCTTCTGGAAGGCACCAGATTGGGGAAAGCTCAGCTAACCTACCAATTGCATGTACTGGCATTGAGTTTGTAGGAAAGGACTGCTTAAAACAGCTGGGAATTACTGGCACAGATGGAGGGCTTTATCCCATTTTGAATAAAACTTAAAATGTATCCTTCCCTTAATGGCTTTCAAGTCCTCCGGTTCCTCACTCTGTGAATAAGAATTCATACTGATTTTTAAAACTTACCCAGAGTGCTTTCTTATTACTTGAACTTCTACATTGACTCTTTATAACTGCAGATGCCAGGAACTGAATTTGACTTTGGCATACAGAGCATGACTTCTACTCCTGAAATCCTGTAAGGCTGATTCCTTCCTTTTGTTCTGCCTAGGTGCTTTTATGTTCCCCTATTTCATCATGTTGGTGTTCTGTGGGATCCCCCTGTTTTTCTTGGAACTCTCTTTTGGACAATTCGCTAGTCAGGGCTGCTTGGGCGTCTGGAAGATCAGCCCCATGTTCAAAGGTGAGAGAGAACCAATGATCAGTGGACCGGCCCTCAGATTATGGCCACAATCACATTCTCTATCTGGATCATGTGCCCCCTTTACAGCAGAACCAGTTCTACCATAACAGAGCTGAAATGTGGCGGGGGACACTATTTTCTCCATTGTTTCAGGCAAGAAAATGTCTGATTTGAGATTTTCAAGACACACTGGCATTATCAAATGAGAAATCTGTATCACGAGATACATTAGTATGTTTTACAAACACTTAAAACTAGAGAATTTTAGTAGTTGGAGATGAAAGTTGCTACTATTTGTCCCACTTCCATGTTAGCTACATCACATTGCTTCCTATTATTTTGCTCTTCGGAGGCAGAATTGAAACCCTAGACACTTTTCTAGGACCACTACCACTCCTGTTGCAGTTTTAGCCTCTCTCACACACACACCTGGGTGTCTCTGCAGGACACAGAAGGGTGAAGATGAAACAATATGCTTGGTCACAGCACAATACAGATCCTAGTCCCTTTATACTTGCATTGCAAAATTGCACACAAGAATGTAAATGGCAGAAATTATGTTTTGATGTCACAATACACAGTTCATCATTTTGACAAAATTTCAACTTGCTGCAGATGTGTTGAAGAAAAGAAAAAAGAAAGGGAGGGGAGGAAAGAAAGAAAGAAAAAAGAAAGAGAAAGAAAGAAAGAACAAAACAAAAACAAAACAATGGTGGATGCCTACCACATCCACTCCTGCCTATCCAAGCCTGATCAGTCAAATACATATTTCTGCTCCCACTGTTGAGAGGGACTGGAGAGAAAAGATATCCCCTCAGCTTCCTTGCAGCAATTCTAGGATTTTTTAAAACGTTGCTGTATGCCATCCAGTTTTGATCTAACTGGCATGGAGCTGAGGTAATTGGACTGATGACTGAATAACTGTCGGCCATATAACATGAAGACAATTTCTAGAACCATATCTGATTATTGTTAAAAATCTGATTGAAGGCCTAGAAACTAAGCCTGTATTTTCACTTCAGAGAATCTGCTTTTTTTAAGGTAGAAAATCTGAAGTTCACAATAAATCCAAAAGAAAAGGTCAGAGTATTTAGTTCCTAGCACTAGCTTTCTGCCAGATTTATTCTGCCCAGTTGTAATGTATAAGTTATGGTCCCTCTAATCTAGATATGTTACTATTCATATGCAGTCTTCTGCTTCCCACCTCATGGCTGCATTTTTTCTGTTTTGAGTCTGAAAGCAGAAGAACGTAATGGCAGCGTTTGCACTAGATATTTAATGCTAAATCACCAACAGCAAATTCTAATTGTGGTATTCACCTCCTTTCATATGCTTCAACAAACCATATAATGGCTTAATGGATAGTTTGATTCACACAACTGGAGAGGACAATGGCTAGGTTCCAGAAAACATGCTGAACCACAAACCACAATATTGTTTTAGTTGTATAAATCTAATCAGTGTGTGTTGGCAGGACCTGACTCTGTATCATAAACTGCCCTCATGGGCTTTCTTGTTTCTGCTTTAAATTAAACTTGCCCCTTCCATATGTAGTGTGTATGTTGCAAACTTATGTCATCTACTTTACAATTCCAACATCAATATGTTCTGTCTTTTACATTTAGCAGCAAACTCCCATCTCAAAATCTTCCTATTTATCCTTATACTTTATTTCCTTCAGGTGTTGGCTATGGTATGATGGTTGTCTCCAGCTACATTGGAATCTATTACAATGTTGTGATCTGTATCGCCTTCTATTATTTCTTCTCATCAATGACACGGGTGCTACCCTGGACATACTGTAATAATTTTTGGAATACAGGAAATTGTACCAGTGTGTTGGATGTTACCAACAGCTCAGTGGATTCATCACTCAACATCACAAATATCTTCAACCAGACTCTGAAGCGCACTAGCCCCAGTGAGGAATACTGGAGGTGATAATGGGGGCAGATAATGGGCAGGGAGGGGATAAGGTAAATGGATATGGGGGGGGAGGAAATGGGAATTGATTTGTAAGGGATTTCCTTCAGTGGGAATAATCTGATCTCATCACTTCTGAGCATCACACTTACTGGGGCTGGTGGAAGTTTTAATTCAAAACAAATAGACAGGGACTGAATTATGGAAGACATTGGGTATGTCACATGGAATGTGTGATCCTAGCTTATTCTGCCTATAAGGTGCAGCCACCATCCCAACCACTGTGTCTGAATGACATCACTTAAGGCAAGTTGCATATTGGAAAGATGTTGCCTTAAATGGAACAAGTAGCAGAAAGATTGGATGTAGGCAGTTCCATATGTTATGTAACATGATTTATAATCAGAGACAGATAAACCATTGCTGGACCAAGGGATGGAAACAGTAGGTAAGAAAATAAAATTGCAGTATTTTTGACTTGAGTTGAAATAAATCCATTTTGCCCCTTGGATTATGAAATCCAACAATATCATGTTAGGGGAGTTATTTATACTCTAATAGACTTAAATGTCACCTGCATTTTAAAAAGTTTCTTATTAGAGGCGAATGAAAACAAAATTTCTCCATAAATCCTTATGATTCTTATCAAGTTGGTGAAAGTTGGTGTAAGTTCATAGTGCTGAACTATGAAGATCTATATACTAATTTACTTAATTTCTGACCCTAAAATTTGTTCACAGCAGTTAACTATCCCACCTTTTAGAATTTTTGTCTTGAATTTTTCTTTTTCTTTATGTGAGTGCCAGTTTTGGGGGGGGGGGCTGTGGATGCAAATTGATTTGATGCATTTGGTAGAGAAGGAAGTAAAGTACTTGCAAAACTGAAGCTTATACTCCTATAACTTTTATTCCAGGCGGTATGTATTGAAGCTGTCTAATGACATCGGGAATCTGGGTGAAGTTCGGCTTCCCCTGCTGGGCTGTTTGGGCGTCTCTTGGATTGTCGTCTTCCTCTGCCTCATCAAGAGTGTGAAGTCCTCAGGAAAAGCAAGTAGTGTTCCTCTTACTTAACATATCTGTGTCCAAGCACTGCAATAAATCTTGCTTTCAGGTCAGCTTTTGACGCCATCTGCAAACATCCTTGTCCCTCCTCTTTTGTCCAGATACAGACTATTTCTTCACTTTCAGTTTTACATTGACAAAGCACTCCGATGTTCATCCTTGGTCACATAAGAGTGGCTTTATCTTATTCTGCGGGTTTATAATCTAGTCAAAAAAATGGGTTTTCCTAAATGCTTATTAAATTCTATATATTTGTTGAACTATAGTGATTGTAGTAGAGGGTGCTTACTTTAAGACAGTGGTTCTCAACCTTTTTAATGCCGCGACCCCAACCGGTCGTAAGTCGAGGACTAAACCGGTCGTAAGTCGAGGACTAAACCGGTCGTAGGTCGAGGACTTTCCCTGCCCGGGAGCACCGCGCATGCGTGGTTCCGCCCCCTGTGCCAGCCGAGGCGTAGCTGGCAAGCGGCAGAGACGGAGCAGGCCGACCACCAGCTGGCCCAGCCCAAGGGAGGTAAGGCACCCGCCGGAAAAGGGGGAAAAATGGCGGACAAAAAAAATGGCGGACAAAAAAAATGGTGGACAGCCTTGCTTGGCGACCCCTGTGAAATGGTCGATCGACCCCAAATGGGGTCCCAACGCACAGGTTGAGAACCACTGCTTTAAGAGGAGGGGAGTCAGCGCTTGCTTGGACAGGCTGACGGTTGTCATGCTGCTGAAATAAAAGTTCTGGGAGAAGGAATTTTTGCTGGAACCTGCTTTCTACTTGCAATACGTCTGAATGCTCTTCAACTTTTCCTTTGTTCCCCCCTCTTTCAGGTGGTATATTTCACAGCAACGTTCCCGTACTTGGTGCTGACAATCTTATTTGTGCGGGGAATCACTCTTGACGGGGCAGTTAGTGGCATCCTGTACTATCTGACACCACAGTGGGACAAAATCATTGACGCAAAGGTATTTAGAGGGGATATCATAATGGATTCATAAGCTGTGCGGTCAGAGCCATAACTGAACCACCTCCCTGTAATTTGAAACTACACGGGCAACTCTGTTTCCCCAGTGACATTTTTTATCTTTGATAGGTATGGGGCGATGCTGCCTCCCAAATCTTCTATTCTTTGGGCTGTGCCTGGGGGGGACTTATCACCATGGCATCATATAACAAGTTTCACAACAACTGCTACAGGTATGATGTTTGATAGAAGTGATGTGGAAAGGATGTGCAAAGAGATTTTTGGGTGATATACAGTAGTCCATATATCTGGAAAATAATCTACAGGGGAAATAGTGCAGGGATGTCAGAATCCTTGTCTCTCCCATTGGGGAGGAACCTGATTTTAGACAGTGCATAATTTTTGAGCTTTTTTTAAAAAAACACAAATACTAAAAAAAATATTTTTGTCTTAAAGCATGAGGTGAAGCAGCCCTCAGAATGCAGATTAAATATCTACATTACCTAAGTTCACATAAGTGCTTTGTATTAATTTGGCACATTGAAACAAAATTTGTGTTTTCTTTGTTCTTTATAATTAAATCATTTTGCCTCCTTTCATCTATGGATCTCAGAACTGCAGGTGGCTTTCATAAGATTACCTTTAGAAAGAACAGATGGGTTTATATCCCACCCTTTTACCAACAAATGGTGCTCAAGATGGCTACAAGAATTAAAATAAACATTTTTCTTGAATTAACTAAAGCAGACATGTCAAACTCGTGACGTCATGTGACGTTGCGCGACGTATCGGCACTGTTTTGCCATTGCCGGCAATGGGATGGGCGCGGCTTCCTCGTGACGCGTCTGGCCAGCGGGCCGGCAGTTTGACACCCCTGAACTAAAACATAATAAAATGTAAATAAATAAAATATAACAATAAAAATAAACTTCTCCCCTAATTTAGTACCTAAACCCACTTGCACATCTCACGTGGGAGCGCATTCTCTAGAGACAAATCATTTGGTTTGCTTAAGGATAGTCCCCTTCAGCTGCAGTTTTCATGAGCTCTCCCAACTTGGTGTACCCACAGAGACAGCATCATCATCAGCATCACCAACTGTGCTACCAGTGTCTACGCAGGTTTTGTCATCTTCTCTATCCTCGGCTTCATGGCTCATCACCTGGGAGTGGATGTTTCCAAGGTGGCCGACCAAGGCCCTGGCTTGGCATTTGTGGCCTATCCTGAGGCATTGACACTCCTCCCCATTTCTCCTCTTTGGTCTGTTCTCTTCTTTTTCATGCTCATCTTGCTGGGGCTGGGTACACAGGTAAATATAGCTATTTGCAGCTTATGCTTTGGGGGAATTCCAGGGCCCAACATGTCTGAAAGCTACAACTCCAGAGAAGGCTAAACTAGCCAATAAACATAAGTGCAAAATAGTGTGCATCTGTTATATGTGTGCATATGTGTTTGTTAAAATACAAATCACCTGTATGTACATATGTATACATAAACACATGCCCCAAACTTGATTCATCTAGTTTGAAGGAAAGATGAAGATTTTATGGTGCTTGGAAACCATGGGAAATGGACAATGATTATTCTGATACCACATGACTAGCATTCCAAATTCCTTTATGGCAAACTGAGTCATAATGAGGCTATACCAACAGGGAAGCCTTCTGTATCCTGGTGCTTTCTAGATGGAATCAAGCTGAAGCTCCCATTATATTCAAGTTGTATGATCAATTCTCATGCTGACTTAGAATGTTGGGACTATACCAACCTGGGAAAGGTGGCAGATTAAGGCACACTGAACTTAACTATTAGCACCAGATTCTCCCCCCAAATAAAGTATATTTGCCCCAAATGCTGATTTACTTAAGCACCGCTGATCTCCAGCCTGTATATTAAGTCCTCGACTTACACCCACAACTGAGCCCAAAACTTCTGTTGCTAACTTCTGTTGCTGAGTTTTGCCCCATTTTACAACTTTTCTTGCCACAGTTGCTAAGTGAATCAGTGCAGTGGTTAAATTAGTAACACGGTTGTTAAGTGAATCTGGCTTCCCCGTTGACTTTTCTTGTGAGAAGGTTGGCTCTGGGACATTGCAACCGTCCTAAATATGAACCGGTTGCCAAGCATCCGAATTTTGATCACATGACCATTGGGATGCTGTAACAGTCGGAAGTGTGAAAAATGGCCATAAGTCACTTTTTTCAATACTTTTGTAACTTTAAATGGTTACTCGACAAATGGTTGTAAGTCAAGAACTACCTGTAGTTGGAGAGAAAGAGTGATTTTACGGTTGCTAAATGGAGGAAGATGGAGAGAACAAAACCTCTGTGACGTGTATAACTTTTACTTTTTCTTCTTCATTATTTTTTCCTCAGTTCTGTCTCCTGGAAACTCTTGTCACAGCCATTGTGGATGAAGTGGGAAATGAATGGATATTGCGTCGGAAGACTTTTGTGACTCTAGGTGTGGCTGTGGTGGGCTTTCTGCTAGGTATCCCACTCACCACACAGGTATGAGAGAGAGTTAAAGAGCAAGGCAGAAATTGCCCACTCGTATCCTAAGGCTGAAAGGGGCAAGGCTTGCTTAATCCAGTACTTGACTGTTTTCTTTTTCTGTTCTCTTCTAGGCTGGTATTTATTGGTTATCGCTGATGGACAATTATGCAGCAAGTTTCTCACTTGTGGTTATTTCATGCATCATGTGTGTTGCCATTATGTATGTCTATGGTGAGTAGCTTCTGCCAGTTGCATAGAGAGCTCTGTTGGGTTAACTGGGACAATTCAAGAGTATAAGAATGGCTGGAATACTGATGTTTCAACTATGAGCACTTGATCAAAACAGCAGACCTCCCCCCAGGAACACTGAAAAATTAGCTATATTATGTAAATTCAGGAATAGAAAATGGTGCTTTCCCTGAATACAGTTTCCTGACTTTGGAGCCTGGAGTAAGAAACAGATAGGAAAAACTTCAATCAGGAAATTTTGTTCAATTCTTTCTTATGAAGAATCCACAACTCAAATGCAGACAGGACTAATAGCCAATCACAACAATTTGAAGGATATTAAAGTTTACTTGGCTGTTGCCAGTAATTGGTTTCATTGGACACCTTCACTCACAGCTCAGAAGATTGCTGATCCAAGATGCAGGTCTGATTACTTGCTCCTCAGCTAAAAAGAGTTGGTAGTAAAAGAAACAGATTACAGCAGCAGGCTTAGTACAGAAAGCTAGTAGCCTTGGGCAAGCTTCAAGGGCATAAGGTTGGTGCTCTAGGGGGTCAGGTCATTTTGATGTAATAATAATAATAATAACAGAGTTGGAAGGGACCTTGGAGGTCTTCTAGTCCAACCCCCTGCTCAGGCAGGGAACCCGATACCATTTCAGACAAATGGTTGTCCAATCTCTTCTTAAAAACTTCCAGTGTTGGAGCATTCACAACTTCTGGAGGCAGGTCATTCCACTGGTTAATTGTTCTAACTGTCAGGAAATTTCTCCTTAGTTCTAGGTTGTTTCTCTTCTTGATTAATTTCCATCCATTGCTTCTTGTCCTGCCTTCAGGTGCTTTGGAGAATAGCTTGACTCCCTCTTCTTTGTGGCAACCCCTGAGATATTGGAACATTGCTATCATGTCATCCCTAATCCTCTTCATTAAAATGACTCCCAACCACCTTCCAATCATTGCTACGATATTGCTGTCACATTTCTCACATCCTACTGACGGAACCCATTGTCCTAAGAGGGAATCCCCCAAAGGATATTTTACCTAGTGTTCCCTGGTCTGGACATTAACCCTTTCAGGCACTCTGCCAGTAGGCAGTGAGAACTTGCCTCAAGTTATCATTGCAGAGACTTCTTTTGTGCTTTGCTTTCTCTGTCAGGAGTTGTGATAGGGATAGGGAGCAGAGGAAAGGAGCCATACTGAGCAATGGAGAGAGAGACACAATGAAGAAATAGATAGCCTATTATACCGTATGGACTCTTGCAGTATTCCTGGTGTCTAGTTATAATACCTCCACTCTAATCGACTGATCATCTTCTCACCCAGGGTACCGGAGCTATTTCAAGGACATTGAGATGATGCTGGGTTTTCCACCCCCCATATTTTTCCAGATCTGTTGGAGGTTCATCTCTCCAGTTATCATCTTTGTGAGTACAAAGAAGGAGTGGGGGGAGAATCACAAAAGAACATAGGAGACAGGATTGGGAGTGAGGGAAAAGGGGACTGGGTGACTAACAACATAATCAGGATGGAATAAAGACTAAGCTGCTAATGCACAAAAACATTGTGATAAGCAAGTGGGGGAGGGGGGAAGAAAAGGCCAGAGGTTTTCTACTTGCTATGATAAAAACATCCAGGTCTGAGAAATGAAAAGAGCTTTTGAAGGTCCCCAGAATGCAAGACTAGGAATGACGCCATGCAGTATATACTTTGGTTTCAATCAGCCTTTTCCCCCTCTCCTTCCAGTTTATCCTCATATTCACAGTGATTCAGTATGAACCAATCACATACAACACATATGTGTACCCGACCTGGGCCATCGCCATTGGTTTCTGTATGGCACTCTCATCGGTCATCTGCATCCCCATCTACGCAGGCTACTATATTTTATGCTCAGAAGGAGACACACTACTGCAGGTAAGACTGGGACTTGCAGGCAAATGGGCAGAGCTGCTGCTGCTTTCTGGACATATGGGTGTACTTGCCTCAGATCCCACTGTAAATCAGGCCTTGAAACCAGCAACTTCTTGTTTGCCTTTTGTATCTCTGCAGCGTTTGAAAAATGCTACTCGGCCAAGCCGGGAATGGGGCCCAGCGCTTGTTGAGCACAAGACAGGCCGCTACGCAACAGCATTCAGCTCAACAGAATCCCAGCTGGAGGTGCAGCTGCTGAACCCTGAGAAACCCAAAAGTGATGAAGTTGGCATGATGGCTGCCATCACCATTGGAAGCAATGGCTCAACCCACAGCCAAGACTCAATGATGTGAACCTTAGCCTGGGAGGCAGGGCAGGGAGCACTCCTTGCATCAATCCATTCCCACCTGTCCTGGTTCTCTAAACCCTACTCTGCTCAGATATACTAAAGTACCCCCCACTGGGTGGGGGACCCCTGGCTCCCAGGCTGTGCTGGACTCTGGGGGAGGGGGCTATGAGTTCCCACCCCACCCACCTCATTAGTGTCCCTGTGCCATCTTGTAACCCTTATGTTTACAAGTAATGCTCAGATGGCCCCGATTCACAGCCAGGACCAGGATCAGAGACAGAGATGTGTGCGCTGGCTAACTAGATGGGGATTCTTTGAGAGGTACCAGTAGGAAGGTTGGTTGATGTCCTAGAAGCTTAAAAATAGCTTTGGGATGGTTTCTGGCAGCTACTTGTGGGTCCAGTGAGTCTAGAATCTGTTGGGGATGATATGGCTCTCACTGCCCTGGATCAGGGCTATTTGCCTGGCCCCACAAGGAAACTAATGGGAGTGCTGGGGGTCAGTAGTGGTTTCAAATATGAGCTGATATTCTAGGCAAAGTTCAGTCTAGAGCTAGGCAACCTTCAGCTAGACTACTGCCTTGATGAGCACTCTTGCACACATGCATGGAAAACTGCACACTACCCATCAGTATCTATACCTTCCCAGCTTTCCCACTTGTCTAGTATTTTATGAAAAGTGGGATAGCTTTTTCAGGACTGTAGATATAAAGTCCCCATGATGGTTCCAAGAGCTTAAGAAAATTCCAGAAGTCTCTCATAATTGGTAGGGAGGATCTAGCCTTATTTGTCTAACTGTCCAGAATTCTTTTCTCTTACACACACACACACACACACACACACACACACACACATCCTTGCACATGGTTAGTAGAGACACTATGTGACTGATTCAAATCTAGGAAAATCCCAACTTGTGGGAAGCTCACGTAAACTGCTGCCACACTGTGTAGAGGTTGTGGAGCAAAGTATTCAACTGAATTATGCAGGAGCTTGTACTTGAATTCTGAGGAATGGACCTTCTGAAGCCATTGTTTATCCTCTTCCCCTTCAGAGGAGCAAATGAATTTGAATAGGGTCCCTCTACTTGCAAGGGACCCTTGGGACCTAGCCCTGCCCCAGTCTCTGGGGAAGGAGCAAAGCCAACCATGGTGCTAAGAGTAGATGATGTGCCAAGACCAGCCCTTGCAACTTGAGGGAAAGCATGGTCTTCCATGAAAGCTATTCCTGGTTAGCCCTGGACCCTGGGTCGCCACTTCCCAGTGGGGATGGGAGCCTCTAATCCCGTGCTGCAATCATGAAGAAATTGGCGAGAAGCACCAGTATCTCATGGCAGCACGATGTCTTCATAACAAGCCAGGTCTCACACTGGAGGGGTAACTAAATGTTGCGTCTTCCTGTCTCATTGCCCCATATTTCCATTTCAGCATTGCTGCCTGCACTTTATCCTTAGCAAGGCCTTGGAGGAGGAGACAAGTGGTCCTGACAGCCACTCCCTTGCCCTTTATGCTGTGGCAGCAATGATACCAAGACACCAATGCCAATTCTTTTGTAGGGACACCGTTGCCAAACGTCTTGTAGGGGGCATCCCTCAGCTCCCAGGAATGCACAATTGCTACAATGCCAACAGCAAGGGCACGTCTGGTCCCTACCCACAGCCAGTGACATGGGCAAAATGGCCAGTGTTTAAGTGCCAAATGTCTGCATCGTGCACAGATGATGGGAAGGACAGATGGTTTCGTGTCATGATGGCATTTTTACCTTAAGCCTCCAGCATCCAATCCTTTCCCTCCTGTGTACTGAAAATGCACTATTTAATGCATGGTTCCATGTCTGTCCCTCCCTCTCCTGTAGAGTGTGGCAACCGCCACTGCCACCTCTCATTGTTCATAGCAATAATTGTATGAGTCTCCCATACTGTGACTCTCCCAGTTGTAGATTGTTAAAGTCTCATAGATTTTAATGAAATTTATATTCCTGAACGCAGGATGTACAGTTCTTTTTGTGGGATCGGAAGGGCGATTTGAGGAGCCATACCTTTACTTTAATGTTATAATGGAATTACTGTACTGAGTAATGGAGATGAGCAGCAGGAGAAGAAAGGATCCCAAGGGCACTGCTGCACTCCCAGGACACTTATCTGTACAGAAGAAGGGATATTTAGCATGGCCTTGTTACTTCCTTTGGAATCCATGAATTTGAACATAAGAATGAGCAAAGACAATAGTAACCAACATTAACCCATTTCAGGCATAGGGAACAGCAGCATACGGTTTCAATGGGCACTGTTGCCCCAGAGCAAGTGGTGAGATGTCAAGAGGAAGAGGAAGTTCTTTTTTTCTTCTTAGCTTGGTCCTTTACATTGCAACAATCTAACACGGAAATAAAAGCGAGACGGAGGACAAGGTTCTGTAGGAGGCACGGGATGAAAAGCAGGTTCCCACACTGCTGCTGCTGCTGCTGCTACTGCTGCTGCCCTATAAACTGAAGCAGTTGGAAGTCCCAGTGTTGTAGGCAGCTTAGTGTCACTGTCCTTCCTTTCCTGGTTGGAATCCTTCCTCTTTTGAGGCATCCATCCCAAAGGGGTTTTTGTTGAATGGCTCCTTCTGGATGACAGCTGATAGCAGAGTAGAGAAATCTGATCCCTGGGATCTGGTGAAGGAATCTCATTAGAAGCAGGATTGATCTGTCCAAATCCTGGCTCTTTCACTAAGCCTCTTGGATGGCTGTGAAATAAAGAGAAGGAGTTGTGTGATACAAAAAGTTTTATTTAACATCTTTCCGTCAAAAAGTAACAAAATTGGCAGAAATTCAAGTCATTGAAGAAAAGCTTATGGATCTCCAAACTCCACTGAAGTGGACTGAACAAATTCCAGAAATGTTACTCCAGAATTCTGGAGACAGAGTGATAATAAATCAAGGCCGAATTAAGTTTCTCACTTTCTACTATAAGGCTTTTGCTCTTGTCACCTCTTCCTAGTATTGTAGCTTGCAAGCATTTTCATACTACCTGAGTTGAGACAAATGGGTGCTATTCCCAAACTGGTTTGACATCGGGGAAGGAGGCCTAGGAGATGACTTGGGCAGGCTTAATTGTAAATCCCGCTCCATGGCACGTTTCTCTTCCTGCAGTTCTGTGGACAGAGGATTATGTCAAGATGGAGAAACAACAAGCCCAAGAACAAAAGAATTAGGGGAATAGCATTTAGAAATAATCTATGCCCAAGTGGCTATGCTAGAAAAACCCTCTTTTCCAATCCTCAGTCTAATTCTAAATAAAGGCACGAGATGAGAGTTTTGCATACCAGCCAGGGTGGGTTCATGCAGTGTGTCTTGCAACTCAGTAGCATTCTGATGCACCTCCTCTAGTTGGCTCTGTAAATCAAAGAAATTTTTTGAAAAGAGGCTGAAATGTCAGTGTCATGCTCCTTTGTAATTCTGCAGAGGAATACTTGTCTTTCCCAGAAGAGTTTAAGCACTGAGCACAGAGGTGTTTCACTTCTTAATGCTCTTATCACTACAGAAATCTATCTTAGATGAGCAATGCACACTCTGTCCCTTCAGTCAAAGAGATTAAGTTTCCTTTGCCCTGGAAAATAGCCTGTGTTAGCCTCCTGCATTCTCATGTCATTGTGGCAATATTATCCAGAATACCCGTGCAAAGAGCACAGAGCAAAGTATTCAAAGCATCCAAAGCAATGGCATTTATACACCAAAAATGCCACTGACCTCTCCTACTCTGCATATCAGCCCTCATGCATCACCACCTTCAGATCAGAAAAGAGGAGAGGAATGGCAGCTAATTAATTAATTACAAAGCTGAGATAAAAGTCAAAACATATCTTCATTACATAATACTCCCTCCTTGAAAAACCTAAGTGCAGTAGCCATAGAACTGTGAGTACTTCATAGGACAAGCTCACAAATCGGAGGTGATCATTGGACCACTTTGATATTCTAAATTAAGATCAAGTTGAGAGTGAAGTTTAACTACACTGCTGTGCAAAGCAGCTTCATAGATCCATGACCAATATCTGTAGTGGACGTTTAGAAGTGCAAGAGTCTAGAAGCTCTTCTAGGCAAGCTGAGAGATAGTCCTTACCTGTAAATGTGTAATGTATCTTTCCAGAACATGGCATTCATCCTCTACCAAAGTCCTAGATAAAAATGAGACTCCAATAAAGATTGACAGAATGTGAGATTTGGGCAAAAGTAAACAACTGCCAACTGCAGATATTGAGTGTGAGACTTCCACAGTTTCCTCCAATTTTTTTGTTCTTTCTCATTATAGAAGCTAGCAGTTCACAATTGAATTAGAAGACAGACATCAGCTACTTTTTTACGTAAGAATTCAGTGTACTGTGGATGACGTGAAATCCAAGTTAGGGAGGTGCCTAACCAAAGCACTCAGTAAGAAAATTCACAAGCACTCCTAACCTTAATAAATCTTATCTGTTCCCCTGTTAGCATTTTGGTTCAAAATTTCCCAAACTCCTGAGCAGTGAACTACTTTGTGCTGGATTCCTTGCAACTAGGATCCCTTTCGTTCCTATATCCACTTCCTAGAACTTGTAGTACTATATACTGTTTAGTGGGATGTCAGATTCTTGATCCTTTTTTCTTGAAAATCACATTTTTGCATTCCATAATGCAATGGGACAGATTGCACACTCTGCCTCTTCCAAAGAGGGAAAGAAATGTAAGTTCAGATACATTCAGGCCAAGATTTCAAGGCAGAAGCTAACACAATGCCATGAACAGCAAGTGCTGTAGGGCTGTTTCACTAAGATTTCCCAGTTTAAAAGTTCTTATTGCATTGGTGTTCTGCAATAACTGATCCAATTACACAGAAGAAAATACATAACACACATGTGCAGGTAAAGGAAATTAGAATGAGACACATGCAGATCTCCCTGTTCTCCTTGTTTTCATGAGTGATGCAGGTTATTATAAAGGGAACAGAGGGAGAATTTCTGAATACAAATTGTTGGGCTCGTTGGCATGTATTTTTATGCTCTGCTGCCCCAAGCACTCCTATTTCTGATGAGCCAGTCCATTATTTACCATATTTACCATTGGCAATTTTGTTTATCTCCCTAACAAGTCCTCTTACACTCCTTGCTTCTGATAACTGTTCCTAGAAGAAAAATATAAAGCAGAAAGGAAGTATGCAAACTTGCCTAAGTCTAGAGGCTATCTTGCCGATCTGAGCTATATTCAGTTTATCAGAATATGGTTCCAAATCATTTGTGCTCCTACAGGGCAATGACCTAAGAAAACAGAAATGGGATTAATACAAATGCCAGATAAATTAAGAAAGACTAGCTTTTCCTTCAGCCAAACACAATTCCAAGTCCACAATCAGGCATTTTGACACTAAGCAACTCAGATCCGGAATGGGAAGCAGAATCTGGATGGAGTTGTTAGTAACTTTCATTGCATATCTATAAATGTCCTGAACACCCTCTCCTCTATGGAGATTACAGAGCAGTAACTGGCCAGCCTAACAAAGCATGCATTTCAGTTACAGCAGTAGATGAACAAGAAGGCCATTCATGAGCAGTTTTTGCACAAATATCCAAACTCAAGAAAAACTACAGTTTTCAGCAGGTCAAAATATTGGGCCTAGGCAAACATCCCTTATATGTTGATGCATACTTAGGTACAATTAATTAAATCTTAATTATATTTATCAAAAATAAGTCTAATGGAACACTTATTTGTCTGTCTCTCCCTCCTTTCCTCTCCCATATCATATAAAAATAACTAGAAAGAAAATGGAAAAAAAATACAATGTACAAAATGATATATCTATCCCCTCCAAAGAATCTAAAAAGGACAAAAACAGATGTATATAAGAACCAATATATCACAATAGATATGTAATGTACAAGACAGCTGAATAAAGTTTACTTTTGGGTCTTACCTGATGAGATTGTTGCTCCCAGATGATGGCCGATTACTTCCAGCATTTGTCTTGAAAGCAAAATTGATCACTTGTGCGTTGTATTTAGCAATGGCACAATCGTGGTCCCTGCAACAAGAAGCAAGCATGAGACAAGGACCTAGCCTCAATCTTCTAATTAACAAGAGTCATGACTGGCCACCCATCTCTTACATTCAAGGACTGCAGCCATAAACTTGTTGGAATATGGATTGAAAATCATCTAGATCAGACGTGTCAAACACAAGGCCCAGGGGCCGGATGCGGCCCGCAAAGTGGTTTCATGTGGCCCGCGAAGCCATCCTGGAAACAGTGAGGGAACGGCCCCCGCTGCCTTGGCCCTGGCCCAGGCCAGCCGGGAGCCAATGTACAATTTTGTGGTGGCCATCTTGGCACTTGCCCCAGTGGACCATGCCTTGGCACTTGCCCCGGTCCCACCCCCTTCTGCCAGAGACCCTCAGATCTGTCCCACTCCTGCCCAGGCCCCCACAGGCACCCTTGACGCGAATGATGTAGAACTGGCCACGCCCACCCAGTAGGCCACACCCACTCCACACACACACACCCAGTAGGCTGCACCCACTCTGGCTACACCCACCCAACCCCCCAAGGGCAACCGCAATGCTGATGCAGCCCTCAGTGAAATTGAGTTTGACACACCTGATCTAAATGAACATCCTTAGATTAAAGAAAATGCAAGTTTGACCAAAAGGCCCCTCATTCACCCTATCCACTGTATGAAAGGAAACATGGCTTAAACCCATTTAATAATGTGAACAGCAATAGTACTTAGACTTATATACTGCTCCATAGTGCTTTACAGCCCTCTCTAAGCGGTTTATAGAATCAGCATATTGCCCCCAACAATCTGGGTCCTCATTTTACAGACTTCAGAAAGATGGAAGGCTGAGTCAACCTTAAGCTGATCAGGAACGAACTCCTGGCAGTGAGCAGAGTCAGCCTGCAATACCACATTCTAACCACTGTGGTTAGAATAAAGATAATGTGAGAGGAACTCTTCTAACCGAACTACGCAAGGCTGGGTCCGAGAGACAGCAAGGTTTAAACAGTGAAGAAAACCCTGAAGGGGTAAAATCCTGAAGTGTGTAACTGAAATATTGGGAAGAAAAATATTTTCTTTGCTGGCCAGTCCATTATAATTATCCTCAATGCCTTTTCTGTTATTTATACAGGAACAAAGCAGGAGGCAAATATCTGGCCAAGAGTCCCTTGCTAATGTTGATTCCAGTTCTTATTAAGATGAATCCCTTTTTTGAATTTGGAGAGGGAGGGGACATAATCCGGGCCTCAGTATAAAGGATCATGGATCATGCACACTAGAGAAACAAAACTAAGAGCTGAATGTCATTCCTGATGGAGCTGTGCTGTTGTGAGATGTCTGCATAAATGGGGGGTGGAGACAGAAGTGAGGTGTTAAGTTCTATGCATCAGGAAATGTCTACTACAGAGGTCCCCAACCTTTTGGGCACCAGGGACCGGTTACGTGGAGAGAGGTTTTTCTGCGGACTGGAAAGGGCATGGTTTTGTGTACTGCCTGCATCCCGCGGATGGAGCTTTGCTTATTTGTGCGGCCCAGCTGCTGGCATGTCGCAGTCTGGTACCGGTCCATGGACCGGGGGTTGGGGATCCCTGGTCTAGTAGAACAAAGGAGAAAAAGGTTCTCTATTCTTCCCCATCATCACCACAAAAGAAGTGGGAAATAACACCTATCTTGCCCACAAAGTTTGACATTTTGATTTCTGGGGAATTTGGATCACAAGGAATTTGGAAGTTTTATACAGCCTAGTCCACAACTTCTTGAGTTAGAGATTTACAGATTCCTTCTTTCCACAAAGACTGCAGACCTTAATTTGTAGTCTTGCTTGTTCCTCGCAATGTTTTAAAACTTGTGAACAAGTTAGACCTTCACTGTGAAGCATTTCATTTTCTTCAGTACCTGCCCTCCTGCAATGCCTTTTGCTGCAAGCCAATCACAAGTAGTCGAATCTCCTCTCTTACTAGTTCTTTTAAGTGGGCAGGAGCAGCCAGCAAGATACAGTTATCAGGCCTTTCCTCAGAATGGTCCAGTTGCAATTCCTGATAGAATTCCAAGAGAGTCTTTACCTGTAAAGAGAGAGGAGGTTTGACTGTGCATTGGACATATCCCAAAATGTTTAGAATTGCATGATACAAATCCCAGAAAAGTCACTTGTAATCTTTCCATGCCCGTCCATCATTTGCCCAAATAATGAGAAATGGTTACACACCTGACTACAATTGTAGCATTCCTGTTACATTCCAGATGCTTCTTTGTTCAAAGATTCATAAGCAAAATTAAGCAAGATGATAACATCATCCAGAAACTCTCTCTTTTGTTTGAAAGACATAATGTAGCCTGGATAATCTTCACAATTGAATGAAAATATACGTGTCCCAGGATAATGTTGCAAGATCAAATCTGGGTTGGGGTTCAGATTCAATCTTGAATAACCATCAATACAATGGTACAAAACTACATGTTAGGTAGGCTGCAAGATTGGTAAAAATTGCTGTGGATGTTCTTGAAATGTCTGATGCATTTCTGAAATGTCAAAACCAATCATTTATGTGATATCCTACCCTTTCTTCACAACCTCAAAGTAGTGCTCTCTCCTCCTATATTTCCCCACAACAATCCAGTGAGGTTGGGTGGACTAAAATGCAGTGAGTGATTGGTTCAAAGTCACCTAGGAATGTTTGTGGCTGATGATGGATTTGACCCCTGGGACCAGCCCAATGTCCTAATTACCAAACAAAACTGACTCAAAGTTTTCCATGCTTGCCTTAGCATGCTGTTACTTTGTCCCACTCTTCTGTAAACTTGTACATCCAGCTGCATTTGGCCACAGCTCACAGTGGTTGTCATTTGTCACAAAATAATAACTGTTGCTCATCCTATCTTAGGAGATATCACAATGGGGAAGACTGCAATAGGTATTTTATCTTGCTTGTCCTTCACGTTTATTTCTCTTTGTGAGAGCTACCTTCTATAATCATTGCTTCCTTATCTCATTTGCAGTACTCATGTCTTTTTACTTTTCTCTTCCAAAGCCTCCCTCATATGCCCCCTTACTTCCTTTACATGTAAGAATTTCCAAACGCAGGCATAGAAACAATTCATTTTCTATGAATCTTCTGAAATTCAAAAAAAGAAAAACATCCTGTTCATACAGCTGATATCTATGGATTGAAAACATATGCCGAGAAAAAAAAAATCCTTTCAGGCAGCAGCAGCCTGTGAAGAGAGTAATTTAATTTAAAAGAGAATGTTTTAAAAAGCATGGCACCTTGCAAGCAAAAACTAAAGACAGAAGTGACCGAACAAAAGCAGATGTAACTACAAGACTTAGCATACTTCATGAATGATAAAAATGCATGCAACGTTATATTATGTTATGATTAATAACACTCTCCATTAAATTCACCCATGTCATAAAACTCAAGATTGGATTGCTTAAGCAGCCTGCTGTTTCCTTGCCTTGTTTGGGTTCTCATTCTATTTTAGTAATGTTTTAATTTGCCTAAGGACTGGGCATAGGCTGTGAAATGATTGAACAGCTCTCTCTAACCTCCATCCGTCTACGTGTGTTGGAAGTGTAACTCTCAAAATTCCCAGCCAGTCTGCAAGTGTAGTGCCAACTCATTTGGAGGACAGAAAGTTGAGGGAACCTGCCCTGAAAAGCATTTTAGAATCAAAGAGGGAGCTATTATGCCACAACCCTTTAACAAAAGATGGGCAAAGTTATTCTACAAGATAATTATCAATAACACTACTCCACTCTCACATTAAAATACCTACTCACCACACTCAGATTAGCACAGAATACAAGTATTCCTTGACTTACAACACTTCATTTAGTGACTGTTCAAAGTTACAATGGCATTGAAGTGACTTGTGACTGTTTTTCACACTTACAACCACTGCAGCATCCCCATGGTCATGGGATCAAAATTCAGATGCTTGGCAAATGGTTCATATTTATAACGGTTGCAGTGTCCCGGGGTTATGTGATCAGCTTTTGCGACTTCTGACAAGCAAAGTCAATGGGGAAGCCGGATTCATTTAACAACTGTGTTACTAACGTAACACCTTCACTTAACAACTGTGGCAAGAAAGGTTACAAAACGGGGCAAATTCACTTCACAATTGTCTTGCTTAGCCACAAAAAAATTGGGCTCAATTGTGGTCGTAAATTGACTACCTGTATGGTCACCCAATGCAATTGCTATCATCTTTGTACCACTGATATTCCATAAAAGCTACAAAGCTGAATTCACGTCCCTTCACAACCATTGCCTTTCCCTGTGAGGAAGGGAAGGAATGTATTGAACTCTGCAAACAAAATATCCCCAGCTACAAAGGACATAATGCAAGGCATTTTTGGAGGACAAATTCCAGCACTCCCTTCCTGGCCCTACATATCAACAAAAATGCTTTACTGAACAACTTCCCAGCTGTCCTGACTGGGGACAGAGGGCATTTGGACAAGAGGAGAGCAGTGAAATTATGTATCCCTTGTGCCACACCACAGCTTGAAATTAAAAGGAAGTAGAAAGGTAGCCTCAAAAGTTTACTATTACAATAGAAATCCTGATGCTTTGAAGTCATGGACGGATTGACCCAAGGAAGATATGGATGGAAACGCATACCAGTTGATCTTGGTAAGCAGGGAATTAGGTGCCTTTGAATCAGCCCTGACTTCTGACGGCTATTTGGACAAACCAGTCTCTGGGGACAATCCACAGCACTTCCAGAAACATGCCAGTAATATCTTGATTCTGTCCATCCGCCCCATGTTATTTCTTCTACTTTCTTTAATCTTACATGCATAGTACATTTCAACCAATCCATGCAGAGAGAAGTAAATCCATCAGCATGAGAAAAGATTTTGGGATGTTTATTGTTCTTTGCCCCAGGCTGAATAAAGAAAGGGTGTGAATGACTGGAGCAGAACAAAGGCCTTGAAATAGCAGGGATTAGAGACTCTAGCCAAGTGTTAGAAGCCAGCTGAGATGAGTCAAAAGGGAAACTTGCAGATGAGAGAGAAGGCAATACATCAATTCACTCTTACAATATGATCTTCTCAAAGCAGATGTATTTCCATTACAGGATCTAAACTAGACTTTGAAAGTAGTTGGGACACCCAGATTGAACTGGCCAAAAAAGCAAAAACAACAGCAACATTTGAACAATAAATAATGAATACATGCATGCTATTGCTTGAGACCAAAATTTGATCCTGGAGAGAGAAATAATTGAAGTCATAATCCCCGTATTTGCACTACATCTAATGGAGATATAGTCTGCAGTTCTCAGATTATAACTGTGAACTTTTCCCAAAATGACTGTCATGCATAATGTATGTATTTCAAAAGCAGTGGAAAGAGAGATGTTTTCTCCAGAACTCAATATAATCTAACTTTGTACAGACTGCTGAAATGAAGTGTAGAGAACCTCAAGTATAAAATATAATACTGGCAAAACGTTATAGATACTTTAGCCAAACTTATCATCAATGTTAATCAATTCACATTGCTAAATAGCATCCAGCTCTCAGCTAGAGATGGTTCAGATTGAAGAGATCTTTGTTCCATGTGGCATACAGTAAATGATAAATGAAATGTTTAGTCTCCTCACTTTATTTTTTTTAATTTTTAATTTTTATTTATTTGTATTCTGCCTCTCTTACAAAAAACTCAAGGTGGTGAACAACAGACCTTCCCCCTACTATTTTCTCCACAACAACCCTGTGAGGTGATTTGGAGTGGGAGTGACTAGTCTAAAGTCATCCAGGCTGCTTTCATGCCTAAGGCAGAATTAGAACTCGCGGTCTCCTGCCTTCTAGCCTGAGGTCTTAATTACTAGACCAACTAGCTGGTGTGGTCCTACATGTGGTCCTACATGTGTACCTTTAGCACCTTTCCCCAACCTAGTCTTCCAGAACTATTAGGATTACAGCTCCCATGTTAAAAAGGAATTTTTGCAATCACATTAAAGCAACTCCATACCAATGAAGCTTTTGCTCAATTAAGTTCTTTGCCAAAAACTCAAGGGATTCTAATGGGATGGTAGATGTGCTAGCCCCCCTTGACACCATCCACACCCATTCAAAATGATGAGATGATTTTTGTACCCTCTATACATATTATTTCAATAGGGAAATGCATAAACCACACTTTTAGGTCACACAGTTGGCCTGAAGTTCCTCTTTCAAACCTCAGCATGAAGCTCCAAGCTGTGGTCCACAAGATCAGTTCCCAAGGTAGTCTTCACTTCCAGTCTCTCGCTGGGTGCTAACTGCTCCTCTATCATGCTCCAGAGCGATGGCATTGACTTCAAGGGCCCCCAGGGGAAACTGGATGATGAGAACATGGGGGCACAGTCCAATTCCAAGATAACGCTAGAAATTCCCAGGTCTAATGCATTAAAGGAAAGAAGGAGATATATGGATTAAGTAGCAAATGACAGGTGCCCAATGCAAGGACACCTAGCAAGTTATCCCCATTTCTTCTTGAGCAGCATTACGACTAACACCATTTAAGTATTTTTATTAAATATTATTAGGTTTGACGTTGCATTACATGCTTTATTAATAATTAAAATCTGCCTATATCCCAGGTTTTTTGAGAAGGACTCAACAGGTTGATAAAATTGCCAAATCCAAATCTAATGGTGTGGACCAACCATAATAATAATCATGACTGTGTATTAATCACTCACAACAAAGTAAGGCCACAGTCCCCGAATCCGTTAGGTAATAGATCAAACTCATAACCACACATATATTGAAGGCCCACTAATCCAGCGCTTTTGGGTAAATTACCTACGTTAGGTTGTTTTCTTTGGATAACAACAAAGGCATCCATTACTTAATCACAAGAAGTTTTAATTTAACTGTTTTACTTACATTGGGTAAAAAAAAAAAAAGGATTGTTTGGGGTAATGAAGGAAAAAGTTTGGGAAGACTTCACTAATCCCTGCAAGCCAAGCAACCCAGTTACCTGTTCTCCATTGCCCCTCCCCCTTTTACATTTTTAGCAGCTCATCCTGGTATCATTGGCCTGGCCGCAGGGGTAGGCAACCTTGGCTCTTTTATGACTCGTGGACTTCAACTCCCAGAATTCCTGAGCCAGCCAAGCTGGCTCAGGAATTCTGGGAGTTGAAGTCCACGAGTCATAAAAGAGCCAAGGTTGCCTACCCTTGGCCTGGCCAAACTAACCCCGCAGACTCCCCTTACGTTCGGCCCAGCTTCGATCGGGCTGCCAGCTTAATCCCTCGTCCCTCTCACTTTTGCCCGCAGACCGACCAACGCCCCCTGCACGCAGCTCCGCGGGGAGGGGAGGGGAACCTCGCCTTCCACTTTTCCCCCCCGACTCTTCACCTTCCCGCGTGAGCTCTCGGGAGCATCAACTCCTTGTCTCTATGGTAACCCCCCCCTCTTCGTTCCTCGGAAGCCTCGCCTCTTAAAGGAGCCGCGTCCGGAAAGCTGAAACAGCCTCAAGACCAGGGGTAGGCAACCTTGGCTCTTTTATGACTCATGGACTTCAACTCCCAGAATTCCTGAGCCAGCTATGCTGGCTCAGGAATTCTGGGAGTTGAAGTCCGTGAGTCATAAAAGAGCCAAGGTTGCCTACCCCTGGCTCAAGACCAACGTGCAACGTTATATTATGTTATGATTAATAACACTCTCCACTCGGAGAGATAACACTCGGAAACGCCTCGGAAAAGGGCGGGATAGATCCGACCCGACCAGTTGCTCCGCTCCTTCCTCAGCTCGCGTTCCTAGAACCGTAAAGGGGCATGGAAGGAAAGACGGCACGGGGGCATCCGAGCCGGGAGGCTGGGAGGCAGCGCGCCTCCTTCGAGGTGCGAAGTTGGAAGGGTTTGGGGAAAGCGCGGGAGCTGGGAGGGCGGGGTGGAGCGCGGGACCGGCCTGGCAGGAGAAGCAGGCAGGCAGGCAGGCAGGGGGGCAATGCATCTGCCCCTCCCAGCTGCGAGGTTCCGCCCTCCCTTTTGGGGAAGGGGCGCTCGGGTTTCACTCCGGGGCGGGCGGCACAAAGGGGCAAAGGAGCGCAAGGGCCGGCCAGGTTGATTGTCAGCCGCGGGCTGGATTCTTTGTCTGGAGAAAGCGGACTCCGGGTTGTCTCCACCCTCCTTCTCTGCTCTGCCCAGCCGGCTCGGGCGTTTGGCGATGCCCTTTCCTTCGGATCGGCTGAGCCTGGCGTTGCTCCTGGCCGTGGTGACTCGGCCCGGGCTGGCGGGGCCAGTCCGCGCTTGCGATGCCAACGGGAGCCTGTACTTCGTCGGCGAGTGGTACTCCCTGGATAGCGACCCCTGCGTCCAGTGCGAGTGCACGGCGGAAGGAGCGGCTTGCGCCCGCGCGGACTGCGCCGCTCTGCCGCCGGCCTGCGTTCACGTCAGCCACTATCCGAGCGACTGCTGCCCGCGCTGCGAACGCATCGGCTGTGAGCACCGAGGACAGGTTTACGAACTGGGGCAGCATTTTCAGGTGAGGCAAGCAAACGAAGGCCGGGGGGGGGAGGGAATGAAAAACCAACAGGCAACGTCAAGGCCAGGGATGGGTGGGTGGGTGGCCGCCTCCCTGAATGTGCGGACCTCTTTAATCGGGGCTAAAAGTGAAAGCTGCTGACAAAATAGTTGAGGAAGTGCTTCTATCCCTTGAAGGTCCAAGTTGGGACGTTGACAATATAGGCTTGATTGGTTCAGTCCGGAGATAAGACCTGGTTTTCGTGAAGCATAACTGATTATGAAATGGAAACTGAATTGCCACTTCAAGGATTGTCTTACACGCAGGGGTCCTCTAACCTTGGCAACTTTAAGACTTGTGGACTTCAACTCCCAGAATTCCTCAGCCAGCAAGGTTAGAGGACCCCTGTAGACTTACAGTGTATTAGAAAGTGATGTGGATGACAAGCACGAGCTTAGAAATGGTATGAAGAGGTTGCTTAAAATCAAAATGTTTTGACAGCACAAAAGTAAAATAAGGACTTTTTTGTCTGCAGTACAATTGTCTATTCCAGTGATGGCAAACCTTTTAGAGACCGAGTGCCCAAACTGCAACCCAAAACCCACTTATGCATCGTCGGGTGCCGGATGGGTGTGACCCATTGGGTGGGCGTGGCCAATTGGGTGGGCGTGGCTGCGGTGGTAACGGCAGACTGGGTGGGACTAAAAAGTTCAATCAATCAATTCCAACTTTGCAAGATTTTTTTTTCCCCGCAAGAAGTTGAAATTGACTGAACCTTTTTTTTGTTGCACACGGCGGCGGAGGCCTAAAGCGAAAAGGTTTTATAAAACCCAGCTGAAGGCCTAGGACTGGGGTGATGGCGCGCGTGCCCACAGAGAGGGCTCTGAGTGCCGCCTCTGGCACCCGTGCCATAGGTTCGCCACCACTGGTCTATTCAACTATCCTCCATTTCTCAGTCCCTACACTAATCACTTTTGGTACCTTCTTTCTGGCTATTGTCTGTCACTGCTAAAATTGTTTGCAATGTATTTTAAGCAGTGAGTTGTCAGGCCAAGCAACTTGCTGGCAGGAGGAACTGGGCAATGAGGGAGGGGCAGATATTGTTACCAATAGCTGAATAAACAGATCTACACTGAGATGTTGCAGGTGGAAGATCAAAGCCTGCTCTACTCCTGGGTTCCTGAGAATCACATGACTCATTCCCACGAAGTAAGGGCCAATCCTCGTAATTGGACAGTGAGCAGATCAATGTCCTTGCTGTCTAGCTCAAATTTGCTGAGTGTTCTTAGAGACATTTTGCAGCGAGCAGATGGGGCCTAGCTCACCGAAAATAATCATGTCCCTTCCCATTAATTTTCCTCTCTCACTTCTTAATGAGTAAGGTTGTGCACACTTGAAAATGATTTGAGAGAAATGCTTTAGATTTCCTGAGTAAGCACTTCCGCCAATTCATTAAAGCAACCATGACATTTTTCATGCTACTGTGCCAACAGAATTGCGTTAAATTCATTAAAGTTAATTCACTTTAAAAAGTGGCATCTTTTTTTTTCAGGCTTGCTGTAACAAGAGAGTGCTTCCTCCCATCATTTGTGAGGCATGAACAGCCCTTTTAGAGAGGCCTAAATTTTTGAAGTTTGCCCAGAACTTTTTGGAGATGGGTACAATATTGCATGTTTGATGTTTAGTAAAAGTAACAATGAAACTGTAACACCTTGCATTTGTATAAAAGTGAAATGTTGACAAAATAGCTTTTTTAAAAAACGTGGTTAACTGAAGTTATTACATTTTAGTATTACAAACAACAGAGCAAGCAATTAAGGAAGAAGGAATTTTTTTTTTCTTATCTACAACACCAGAATAGGGCAACATCTTGCCAAATCAGATCTGGAATGCCTTTGGGGATTTTAAAGAAGCCCTGGAAAGCATCTTACATTAAAGAAAACTTTTTTTAACTTTTATAATTCTGATCATGTCTTTTGGCAACAAGCCTGTGGTTTCCATATGACCAACTATAATTATTTCAACAGTTCAATAGAGGTGTGAGTTGATATAACCATTTGCTGGTCCAATGGAGAGGGAATTTAATACAGTGAAGAATAATGTGAGGAGTTTATCTTTAAGTAAATATGGTAGCTGGCAAAAAGGGGACAAGGGGATTGAGAATAGGGTCAAACTTATTGTTACTTATTTATATTTATTCATTATCATTAGTTTCGCTTCCCTAACACTAATGGTAGGCTTTGCTACTAGAGATGTAATGAATTGAAAATAACAGTAACATCTTTGTTAAGTATTTAACTGTAGCTCCTGTCACAGGATTCCTGGAGGGCATCACCTCCATTGTTGTGGATGTGTTTAGTACACCCTGATCCGAAACTCCATACCACAATCTTTACATACACAATCAGAACAGAAACTTGTTAATTTTTTTTCTACTGTATAAAAATGGTGGCTGGAGGCGAATAGCTCAAGACATCCTATTGGAGGCTTGCATTTCTCCTAAAACTGAAATCAATCTGAATGGATGGTGCCCTCTGATGGTGTCATCTTAGTATTGTGAAGTCTATGAAAATGTTGCAAGTGCTACAATACTGCAGAAAAAGGTGGAAATAGTTGCAAAAGGAATCACTTTTGGAGAAGCAATTTCTCTATAAAATAAATATTTTGGGCATGTCTTTATCCTGCTTACTTGGATAACACACTTGCCTTTAAAAAAACCTGTTGCCATAGTACTATTATGACAGATTTGGGCAGAAATATGAAATTCTTCGGCTGGGAGAATCCCAGTAGCAACATGGCAGCATCTTATTCTTAATGCTTTTTAGAAAAACTCTTTCTGGAAGAGATTTTAGCAGGACCTGAAAAGGGAAGTGTGAGTAAGCAAGAAGGGAGTTGCTTAAGCATGAGATCAATACTGAAATCAGTTGTTCTGTTTGTTATCTAAAAAAGCAACCTCTGTCAAGTTTTTGTTTAATGGGGACTAATTAATGTATGTCTTGCAAATACTATATGGCTGCAGTGATAGTGAACTGTTCGCATAGCACTAAGAGAGTCCTTGTAGTGAAAGAATGAAGAAAGAAGAGGTAGGCTTGCCCAGAACCCTGCAGGATGACAATGTGACAGTGCAGAAATAACCTTCAAAATAAGCTTTGTGCCAGTCTGTAAGACTATGTACGTTGCAAAGTACTACACAGGATGGGCACATCTTGGGAATAAAGTCATCCAACGCTGTTGCGCACATAGAGGAGTGGTTGCAAATTGCCATGCCACACTGATCAACCTTTGTTCCCCCCACAGCCTTCTGAATGTGAGCAGTGCACTTGTGACTTGGATGGAATTGCCCGCTGCCTAGTAGCAGACTGTGCCCCCCCACCATGTGTCAACCCCATCTACGAGAAAGGCCACTGCTGCCCTATCTGCAAGGAAGGTGAGAAATTAAGGGAAAGGTGTGCCATTCCCAAATAACCACTAAACAGGGGTAGGCAACCTTGGCTCTTTTATGACTCGTGGACTTCAACTCCCAGAATTCCTGAGCCAGCCATGCTGGCTCAGGAATTCTGGGAGTTGAGGTCCACGAGTCATAAAAGAGCCAAGGTTGCCTACCCCTGCCCAGGCTATGGTGCTTGCTTTCCTCTTTGAGGAGTGCCTTAATGAAAATGTAAAGAATGAGTTAGATTTCTGCGGCTAATATAAATACTACAATGTTATACTATTATTTATGTTCCAAAATCTGGGAATGCAGGCAGTCCTCACAATTGTTCAATTATGACAAACCCATCCTCAGACTTATGACCGCTGCACACGTACACACACAGTGGTCATAGGACTGCATTTCGGGTGCTTGACAACTGGCTTGTATTGATGACCGGTTGCAGCATCCTGTGGTTGTATAACTGCAATTTGCGCTTTTTACGTGGCGTTTTTTTGGGGGTGGTTTCTGGCAAAAAAAAAAAAAAGTTCATTACATGCAAATGGATTTGCTTAATGGCCGTGTGGTTCACTTCATGGCTGCGGGTGATTCATTTTGTGAGCATCATAAAAACAGTTGTAAAATCGACAAAGGTCACATGGTGATCTGCTTAATGATTTCAACTTACAACCATTAAATGGTCATTACATGAGGACTGTTATTTGTCTTTTCTATGCCACCCCCACATAATACACCCATTTTGTTTCTGATATCTCATGCAAGCCACATTTGGAGGGTCAATGGCCAAGTGAGAGCAGCCTGATGGCCTCTATAGTTTTCTCTTATCTTCATGGTATATCTTGGTAAAACATTGAGAAAATGTTACTTTTATTCCCACAGGACCAAACTGCTACGTAGATGGGAGCCAGCACAACATTATTCCCGCTGGAGATAGCATCTGGGTCGGTCCCTGTATTCGCTGCCGCTGTCACGATGGACAAGATGCTGGCTACTGGGAAGGAAACCACTTAGCTAAATGTGAGCAGCTGGCAGGATGCCTAGACACCATTCCTAACCCCTTTAAATATTAAGTGGTTCCTTAACCACATCTCATCTCTTTAAGGGCTAAGTTACAAATGAACCCCACCAGATGCTGTTCTGCCAACTCCAAACTACAATTATCCATCCTAGACCCTGATCAGAGTCCAGTTCCCTACTCTTCTGCTATCTAGGCCTTCTAGGAAAGACCCTTCAGTTGCTGCTGCACTACAATCCCCATCATCCCTTGCCAATGGCTCCCTGGCTAGGGTTGCTGGGTGATATACTTCTGCAATAATTGCAAGACAACCACAATTTCCCCATCCCTGCTCCCCAATCACATTGCCAATAGCAATCTCTGCTATATTTTATATAGGATTTAACTTTTATGCCTATCTTCTCCTCCCAGGATTCCAGTCAATTCCACTCAAAAGACAGCCTCTTTTGTACAGTGCTGTACTGAATAGCTTCATCTGCATGTACTCCTTGACTATACGACAATAAAGGATCCTTACAAAATAGCTTCTCTTTCCTCTACATTTGAGCAACTACAGTATACACATCATTTCCTGGGCCAATTGCTCAGTTTCTACCCCATTAAAATCAAGATAGTGTGAGAAACTAAAATGTATTTTGGAAATGTCTTGAATTTGGCCTTGCTAAGAAGAATAAAGAAAAGGAAACTACAGATGAGAAATGTCCAACCTGGTGTCTTCCACAGACTTCAGCTAGCAACATTGTTAGCCAGTATAGTCAAAGGCTGAGAATTCTGGGTACTGAAGTCCTGGCATGTCTGAAGAGCACTAGATTAATAAAGGCAATGGTGTGAGCTGCCCCAATCAAGTGTCTCCTACAGAATTCCAGACACAAGGGAGTCTTCCAAGTTTTGAAACTTTACTGAATACAAAAGTCTGATCATAGCGACCAGTGTTGCATTCACCATAGGCTTGAAAAGGGATCAAAACATTCAAATGTACAAAAGTCACCAACACCCGGGCTATTTGACATGCTGATGCCTGGCTTCCAGCCTGGCCCCGCTGTCACCCCAAAGTGGACAGATGCAGGTGATTCCTACTTGCCAGGCACCATAACCAGAATGAAGAAACGCCAGCAGCTTCCCAGCTCCAAGTACTAGGTGTAGAACTGCCACAAACATACCATCAGGGCTGTGACTGAGGGTAGTTTGATAAAAATAAAGGAACGCGTGGTTAAGGGCAAGATGCCTGGCAGAAACTGTAGGGCTGCTAGAATTGCTTGAGGAGTGGAAGTTGGGATGGCAGTGGACCAAGGGAAAACAGGCTGAACTCTACCTTCACGTTATTCCGTTCTATAACAATGGCTATAGGTTCTGCGTGCTTATGAGAGTGAGAAGCAAGCCCACTTTAGGGTATGTCAAACCATACATCCATCTATCCACCCTACTAAAAGGTACAATCTCACTACCCATCCAATCTGCTCCACTCAAGGAAGAAGAGAAATCACAGCTAAGAAGGAAGTCCTGTTGTACCATGCCAGACAGGCTACACATACATTAACCCAGGAAGCACTCAAGTATTCTAATGAGGATTTGTATAAAATACCCCTGGAGTACTGGAGCCAGAAAAAAAGCAACCAGGATCCAGCAGGGGACAGCACCAAGCCATGAATGGAGGTGGGCAGTGGGCCAGACCCATTAGAGCTTTTACTGGCGACGGAGCTCTCCTCAATGGGGAACCATCTCTACACCTTGGTAGCTGGCAGTCGTCGTAAGACCAGACTGTGCCTGGACGAAAGGCTCAAAAGGCAGTAGTTTTTCAGTCTCTGAGAAGAAGCAAACAGCTACCATACCCTTGGAATCTTTCAGGGACACAACCTTGCAAAAAGTTCAGGGAGAGGATGGTCTCTGCCAGAGATAGAGGGAAGGTCAAAGCCCTAAACAAGGCTTACTCTGCTCTCGGGGCCTTCCTCAGCAATCGGGGCTCGGCTCTGCCCAAAATCGAAACACTGGACCAAGCATATAACACACATTCATTCTCCAATCTGAACGGCACTGTGGAGAACTGACTATAGTGTTAAGGAGCTGGTCTTCAGCCAAAGGCAAGGACAAGACAAAGGTGTGTCCAGAGCCTTTCCCCTTTTCCCATGAAGGAGGCAGACAGGTCGTCCCAGTCAGGACACAGTCCTCTGAACCAGTCAGGGCTGAGATCCATGTTGCTCCTCATGCATGGGACCATGGGCAGGGCCAAGCAGCAGAGTCAACCCCGAGAGGGGCGTGGCGGCGGTCGGCCAATATCCACAGTTACATTGGTGTACATGGGGCGGCGAAACATCTCCACGAGGCGGTACTGAAGTGAACCAATGCCATCACGTTTCATGGTCACCTTGGTATTCTGGATTTTGGTGAACCTGCCACAAGAACAAAACAGAACCTCATATTTCACCTATATTTTACAGTTTACTTTGGCACAGGGTAAAACAACAATCCCTCAAATGAATGGAATAAAAATTAAATAGAACATTACATCATTTGTAAAATTCTGATCAGTGCATTATATAACATTACATAAATTAATGAATAATGCAGCATTCTCTGTAGTTTCCACCATAATGCATTTGTTATTCCATAAGTTCTACACAGGGCTGCCAAAACTAAATTATATCATCTGAACGCTTGGGAACAGAGTCACTATCCAAAACTCTCCATGGAGCCCACAACATTCAAAAATAGGTTATACAAGAATCTTCCTCAAATTACATACCCTGATAGGAATTCTTGGTGAAATAGTTGGCAAGAGAACAGTGAATTCAATCCTGCTTCACTTATCAAATAAACAAAGAGAAACCTATGTAAATCAATATCAAATATATACCATACTAATTATCCCACATTGCCCATTTTCTATATCAGCAGTCCCCAATCTTTCTGGCTCCATGGACCAATGGCAGCAGTGACGGGATGGTTTTGTACACACAATCTAATCTCACAAATGCACAAATGAAGCTTTGTGTATTTGCCCACCACTTGCAAAGACCGGTTCCCAACGGGCCACAGACCGGTACCAGGCTGCGAACCGGGACTGGGGACCCCTGCTCTATAAAGTACAGAAGTCCCCAACCTTTTGGGCACCAGGGACCAGTTCCATGGAGAGAGGTTTTTCCGTGGACCGGAGGGGACGTGGTTTTGTGTGCTGCCTGCATCCTGCGGATGGGGCTTTGCTTGTTTGTGCGGACTGGTTGCTGGCAGGCTGTGGCCCAGTACTGGTCCACGGACCAGGGGTTGGGGACCCCTGATATAGTAAATATAGGGCAGTCAGTTCAAACACTTTTATCCTTTCCTGCATCAGTAGACCATAGTTTTAACCTAGCCATTGATACATGCACATATATAGGAGAAGGGGCAAATGACAGTAGAGTGGGAAAAGGAAGACTGAACAGCATGAAATTCCCCTCAGAGTCATGTTACGGCAGGGAAGTACAATCTAAGACTCAAGGATATAACTTCATACCTCCTTCCAAAGTTTTCAGCAAATTCTATTTTTCAATGTTGATAGAAGGGGGAACTATTAAATATAAGAGGATTAAATATTGGTTTTATTTATTTATTTAATCAAATTTATTTCCCTTTTCCCACCCACTTCCTTATCTTAGTTTCCTTAATTTTAATTGCGGCCTCAACTTTTTTTTCAAAAGCTATGGTCTTTGTCCTCTTCTCACAAAATAGTCTGTACTTTTCTGCTACGAGAAGAAACATAAAAATGTGTATAGCATATAATTTAGCATTGAAAGGTTAGTCTCCCAAACTTCCACTAGATGGTCTGGAACAGGGGTAGGCAACCTTGGCTCTTTTATGACTCGTGGACTTCAACTCCCAGAATTCCTGATTCTGGGTGTTGAAGTCCATAAGTCATAAAAGAGACAAAGTTGCCTACCCCTGGTCTGGAAGGTTACTTTTGCAACAGAAAATTGATTTGCAGTCTGTGGATTGAGAATATGATGAAAGTTATGAGGATTAGATAGAAAGTTAACATAGATGCATTCTTACCGTTGGGGATTTGGTTCATTATGTCGATCACGCTCATGCTTGATCATGCGATAGCGCCCAATGCGTGCATCAGGACGTGATACTTTCATGCCATTAAGTGAGATCCTGTGCAAAGAAAAGTATAGGACAGAGGTTAGCAAACCGGTGAGTTTCAAACAAGCCTTTAAAATAATGGAATTTGCCTAAACCTTCTCTATTCTTCTCCACCACATTCCTGGCTTTCATGGATTGATAAAGGACAAAAATATAATTATAGAAAGTTCAGTACACATAACATTTGTTGCCATTTGCAGAACCATCCCATCCAGCAAAGGAATACTGGACAGTCCAAATATTCTCTGTACAACCCCTGGTCCATGGTTCTGTGCTGGGCTGCAGCCTGTTTGGAACCGGGCCACGGAAGTGGTGGGCGAGTGCACATGCATGCACGTGTGTGCATGAAGTTGCATGTGTAAAAGCGGTGCGTGCAGGAAACCATCCCCCTCTTCCCCCCCCACCCCGCCACCACCAGTTCACTGAGCCAGAAAGGTTGGAGAGCGCTGCTGTAGATGCTATATGGAAAAATGGATTTCACAGTTCATGCCATCAACCCACAGAGAACACGTACTGGATGAGCTTAGCCCAACTGAAGTCTTTCACATACCTGTTAAAGATGTCATCGTCTTCTCCACCCCAGCCCCAGTACTCATTAGGGAAGCCATTAATCTTCAGAAACTGTGTCTTGCTTAGGCCAGAGACTCCTCCAAAGTAGCCAGAATATGGTAACCTGTAGAGGACAAGCAAGAGAGATAAGATCAATCAAACTAGAAACAAGTTCAGAAGCATAGATCTAGATGGTCCAGAGAAAACCTGTTGTAGATTAAGCCCTGATTTCTAAACCATTTGTGTGATGTCACTTATTGTTCCTACAGTATCATGCTCTCTCTAAATCCTGTCCAATTTCTCACCATATTAATTGGACTGCCCAGATTCTATCTGATAAATCCAGGATCATATTCTTTTTTCTTGCTTATTTTCAATGTTCTGGAAATACTGATAATAAGGCTTACAATATGAAATATTCACAAGACATTCCAGCCTAGGTTTTTACATCACTAGTACATAGATCCATGCCTGATAACAGAATTTTCAGAAAGGGACTGGTATTATGTATATGCATTTGTGTGTGTGTGTGTGTTTGTGTGTATTAAACAAAAACACATTCAGATTCTGCTTCTTCCTTTATTCTTGAGTCTAAACATTTTGAAGCGCCTCTGTTATCTCAGGAATAACCAGAGTGCATAGGACTACATTTATCTGAAAATTCCAGTTAAGAATTTCATCTGAATGAAATCCCAAAGAGCTGGTTTTGAAATTTATTAACAAACAGATGGGACAGGTCAAGTTATGAGTATGTTATACTATACTGTGTCAATAGCATACTGAAATTCTAATCCAAATAAAACTTTTGAGTCCATTTGGCAAGGAAATTTCCAATCCATTTACTCACCGGAAACCAAACTTATCCATGGCAACAGCAAAGTGCCGAGGCTGGTCATAACAGCGATAAAGATTCCGGTCATCCATGGGCACAAGATCAACATCACTGAATATGAAGCAATCATAGCTCTCGCTATCTCTTAAGGCTTCCAGGAAGCCCACATTCAACAACTTGGCTCGGTTAAACGTGTCTTCACCAAACTGTTTGGAAACATCACGAAACACACGGTAATCCCAAGCAACATATACCCTATGATATTTACATTATATTTTTGGACTGAACTTAATTATTTTCTGCATTGTAAAGAAATTTACAATTATTGAATTTCTGTGTATGACTCTAAATCCTCACCACTCATCAGACAACAGCTTTAACCTGGCATTCCATACTTGACTATAAATAAAACATCATGACCATCCCTAATCCATAGTGTAATACTATTGCTTTCCCAGTATGTTGGAAGCTATTACTTCTTCACTGGGAAAATCTTCCTTGAAGCCACATGTCAGTGAGGGACACCCACTCTTCTTTTTGACATTCATTTTTGGACTTTCCCTCTCTCT